ACCATTTCTTCAAAGGGTGGGATTTCGGACTTATAAATGTGCTGTTGGAGACCGATCGACGATTTGCCCCTTGGCTCAACAATGCAACACAATAATGTGACATTCGGCCTCAGTTCCCTTTGACCTGTAGAGTGGTGGTTTTGACCCTGACCTTTTCCCATTGATTGAGTTGATAGTATGGAACGTTCTCCGGCTGACAGAGATGCATTGGCTGCTGAATTACTTCGGATTTTGACAACCGCTAGTACTCCATCGGGATCTTCCAGTGACTCGGAATCCATTGATTTGAATGGCCAAGAGTTCCGAGAGATGTTGGCACGGTACATCGAACTTACGGACCAAGCCCTCCATGAGATGCGCACCCGTATTACCTCTTTGGAGAACATTGTGTCACCTCCCTAGAACACCTCGGTGGAACAGACACCTTACATCTTTGGTTACATGCTGGAGACTTGCCCCACAGCCAAAAATTGCCCGACCAGATGTTCTTGAATAGTTTCCACACCATGCATGGTTTCTTAATTCACGCCGAGACCGTACTATTTGGACTTTTGTTCTAGCTTGACCGGACTTGCGGGTTTGCGGGTTTTTCTGGTCTTGAGGGGTCGGGGGGTTTTTGTTTGTTTGAACTTTGGGGGTTTTTCCACCTTTCTCTTTCCTTTCCCTTTCTCTTTCTCTTTCCCTTTCTTTTCCTCTCTCTCTCTCTCTCTCTCTCTCTCTCTCTCTCTCTCTCTTTCTCTTCCTTCTCGTTCTCTTTCTTTCTCACTCCTTTGGTTTAGTTGAATAATTTCTTGGCGTGTAGTGCCTTCTTCGCGACGTGGCGCCACTTGGCATTTTAAGTTGGTGATATTTAGGCTCTAATTCCCCGCCTTATCTTTCCGTTTGGTTTTGTCCCATGACTGATACTCCGGATCGTCCTTACAGTTTCTCTGACTACGACCGAGTGGCCCTTTGGGAGATTGATACCAAGTTGATGGAACATCATGCTAGGATTCGACGGACCGTTACCTACATGGAAAGGTTGGACTATCAGATTGGTCTGTTACAGCGAGATGTTGATCGGTTTCGCGAACGTCAGGCTGTTCCCCAACCCTCCTTTCATTCTTTGCAGCTGGAGATTGAACAGTTACACCAGTCCATTTTTGCCCTTGGTTCCATGATTGCACTTCAATTTGATATGCTTCGCCGAATGCAGGAGGCTTTCCAATTACATTCAGATTCTGTCATTTGGACTTTGTGGCTTCGGGGGATTCACCTACATCCTCCCTCTCCTCACCCTCCTCCAGTGACACCGTCCTTAGCTGTTAGGAGATGACATCTTCGTATGGCCCGTAGATCTCCTTATTGATACGATTGGCGTCACTTGAGACAAAAGATCAATGGTATCTCTAGGGTAAAATATATCCACCTCGCTGCGGCGGGGTGTGTGTGTGTGCAACTAGAAATTTACCACTGGTGACTGCGGTCCATGAAGTACTTGAACATTCACAGCAGGGGGACCATCCAGTTGCTATGTGCGATGGTCCAACGAAGCGGCCATAGCAACTGCGGATACCAGGGCTGATCACCCTGGCGTACCTGCGATGGGTATACTGTTTGTGACATCATTCATCGTACAAGCTGTACATGGTACCGAATCCTGTGTTCATCATCGCTGTGCAGACCCAAAGATGAGTACTACCCCATAATAATAATGATAATCTTCGGTGACTTTGCTGCATAAAAGTCTCTTGGCTTGGAAGTGGATTGTCAGAAATTTACCCGTGGAAAAGTGTGTGTGTGTGTGTGTGTGTGTGTGTGTGTGTGTGTGTGTGTGTGTGTGTGTGTGTGTGTGTGTGTGTGTGTGTGTGTGTGTGTGTGTGTGTGTGTGTGTGTGTGTGAGTGTGGGGGGGTGTGTGTGTGTGTGTGTGTGTGTGTGTGTGTGTGTGGTGTGTGTGTGTGTGTGTGTGTGTGGTGTGTGTGTGTGTGTGTGTGTGTGTGTGTGTGTGTGTGTGTGTGTGTGTGTGTGTGTGTGTGTGTGTGTGTGTGTGTGTGTGTGTGTGTGTGGTGGTGTGTGGGTGTGTGTGTGTGTGTGTGTGGGTGTGTTGTGTGTGTGTGTGGGTGTGGTTGTGTGTGGTGTGTGTGTGTGTGTGTGTGTGTGTGTGTGTGTGTGTGTGTGTGTGTTGTGTCGTGTGTGTGTGTGTGTGTGTGTGTGTGTGTGTGTGTGTGTGGTGTGTGTGTGTGTGTGTGTGTGTGTGTGTGTGTGTGTGTGTGTGTGTGTGTGTGTGTGTGTGTGTGTGTGTGTGTGTGTGTGTGCGTGGGTGCGTGCGTGCGTGCGGTGCGTGCGTGCGTGCGGTGCGTGCGCGTGCGTGCGTGCGTGCGTGTCGTGCGTGCGTGCGTGGCGTGCGTGCGTGCGTGCGTGCGTGCGTGCGTGCCGTGCGTGCGTGCGTTGCGTGCGTGCGTGCGTGCGTGCGTGCGTGCGTGCGTGCTGTGCGTGCGTCGCGCGTGCGTGCGTGTGCGTGTGTGTGTGTGTGTGTGTGTGTTTGTGTGTTGTGTGTGTGTGTTTGTGTGTGTGTGTGTGTGTGTGTGTGTGTTGTGTGTGGTGGGTGGGTGGGTGGGTGGGTGGGTGGGTGGGTGGGTGGGTGGGTGGGTGGGTGGGTTTGGGTGGGTGGGTGGGTTTGGGTGTGTGTGTGGTTGTGTGTTTGTGTGTGACAACCGCACTGCTGCGGTCAGATCAGCTTGAAGCACAGGATTTGTAGGGAGTGATGGAAAGCATGCATCTTGTTTTATCAACTGAGCCTGGGGTCCTAGTGTTGCGCATTTTTCTTCCACAGTTGTCCACTTGCCAGTTTGACAGGACGGCCTGCGAGCCTCCATGCTGCTGACATCCAGTGGGGTTTGGTCAAAACAAGGGTTTAGGACCGTTTTAGGAGCCCCTCAGAATGGGGAAAGCCGTGCCAGAAGAAGCGCGTGCTTTTGGATCTGACGAGCTCAGGTTAAAACTGAAGTCGTCGAAGGATGACACGAAAGCGCCCATCACGATCCCGGTAAGCTTCGCTCGCTTCATGCTGTGCAGATTGCGCCGAGGACACAGACATTGTTTCTGCGAGGAGGGGCGAATGACATGCAGCGTTTGGTCTTCCTGCTGTCTGCGTAGATCCTTTGACAGGTCCCCCCTTCCCTGCGCCAGCCAGAGCCTCAGCTGCTTGACACGAGTCCCCCCCCCGAGAAAACGTAGTCACGTTGTCCAGTTGGGTCTGACGGGCTCTAACCCTCCATAACCCTCCATAAGAGCCTCGCAGGGGTTAGGCTTTGATTTGTGGGCTTCTGAGGTTCAAGCTCAAGTCGCCGAAGGACGACACGAAAGCACCCATCACGGTCCCGGTGACCCCAGCTTGATTAGCAGAAGAACCGGGGGGGGGTTTTTTTGGATGGGTTCCTCTCTGGACTCTATGGGTTCCTCCTACTATGCCCGAAGAGGGTTTCCTTGGACATTGCATGTCAGGAGAAGGACCTAAGCAATCGAAACAAGGGAAGGACAGGAAGGAAAGGAGGGAAGGGAAGGGAAGGGAAGGGAAGGGAAGGGAAGGGAAGGGAAGGAACCGAAGGGAAGGAAGGGAAGGCAAAGGAAAGCAAAGAAGGAAAATAGAGGAAGGATAACAAGGACAAAGGACAAAGGATGGAGGGACGGTATCGACAGAACGCGGGGAAGAAGGAACTAATGAAGTAAAGAATCTATAAAGCTCCATGACAACGCATTAAATTCTACCCATAAGGCATCCCAAAAACCCTTTGGAGAAGGTGATGAGCTCTTATTTTAACTCTCTCGGTAACTCTATGTGGAGCTTTTGTTAAATCCCCTGACATCCCTTGTCTGACATGTATTTCAGCAATCAGTTGAAAAAAACCATTCTGGACTGGACACTCTGAAACTCTATGAGCCTTCTTGGTATGTGCAAACATATGAACTGGTTTAAGGAGCAGTGTCAGCACCTTCCAGTCTCTGGGGGCTTATGGCCCGCCCTTCCCCAGGTAGGAGGAACAACAACAACAACAGCAACAACAAATGAGCAACAAAAGGGTCTCCACTCTGCATTGTTGAACATTGTTGAGCACGTCACTTGCTTGGCATTTTTGCGCACTTGAAAAGGTGCCGCCTTCCCTGCGTCAGCCTCGACCTCAACCACCTGTGATGGCTTGACGGGGTCCTCTCGGCGGAAGGAAAAGGACATCAGAAGACATGCTTTCTGAATGTTTCTTCTTCGCTTCCGGAAGCATGGCTGTCGTTAGTCCTGTCGTTAGTCCTGGACCCGACGTTGTAGCTGTTTTATTGCTTTGTGGTGTTTGTTGGTTCCCGCTTTTGGTTTAATTGTGAGCATCTAGCGTCTCCGACTCGAGGACTCATTAGTCATTAGTCATTGACTCATGGAAACTCGTTGTTTTTTTTGTTGGCTATGTGTTGTCGGTTTCGTTCTCAGGCAGAGTAATCAGTTCAGATCAAGAACGCGGGCAACGTCTTTTCAACGTATGGAACTAAGAAGGTTCTTGGGTAGTCTTTTCTGGGAAGAGAACCGTACTTGCACAATCCTTAAATTCTGCAGAACGAATGACATAAAACAAATGCTAAGTGGCGTCTCAAGTTGATAGATCAATACGCATGAGTAGTGTTGTTGCTGGCATGCTTCTTACTTTAGTGGGCTGGTCATTGCCTCTTCTTCTCCAGCCCCATCACAGCCTTCAAACCCCGCAGTCTTTGAGTTCCCTTTCTGTATGATGCGGCTCTGCAGTGCTGCATTTGTCTGTGTGTAAGGCTGCGCCCACTGTCCATGTAGCACCTTTGTGAAATGAAGAAGCAGAAGCAAGTAGGTGGAGCCAGGCGTTCAAAACGGCATATAGGTCCATAGGTATATGTACAATGTACACACACATACATATCATCTATGCATACATATATATATATATGCACCAATAACACTCGTACTGGCTTGTAGGCCACTCTCGTTGGTTGACATTCGGGCTGCATGGGCGATGGCTTGGTGCAGAATGCACCTCACCTCCTGCAGAATCCGGAGGTCGACTACAAGGTGGTTATACCCACTCTCGGGAGGTGGAGGCCCGCATCGGAGGTGAACCCATCGGACCGAAGCCTGCGCGACATCACCCGACCCTTCATTTTGGAGAGGACGCTGCAGCTCCTGTCCCGGCATGGAATCCCCAAGGAACGGGTGCGGCTGTTCGTGGCGAGCCAGGAGGAGGCCAAGCAGTACTGCAAAGCACTGCATGGCACCAGCTGGGAGGGAACCTCCCTGGTTGTTGGAGTTCCCGGCATCATGGAGCAGAGGAACTACATCGTCAACTCTTTCAAAGAGGGTGAGTATATTGTGAGCATCGATGATGACGTGAGCGACATCATCTGGAAATCACGACCAGGTTGTCAGTCGAGCGCACTCATTTCGCTGCCAGATGGCGCTTTGAAAAACTTGATTTCTGATGCGTTCCAGCGGATGACGACACACCGCGCGTTTATTTGTGGACTCAGCACATCCAAGAATGCCCTGAACATGAGCATCGAAGGATTGTCACAGAGGAACGGGGAGATCAATGGCTTCCTTTACTTCTTCATCAACCGCCACGACAAGGACTTGTTGCCGACGGTGGCCAATGCTACTGAGGATGCGGAGCGCTCCCTGAGATACTTCAGGAAGGACGGCCGCGTCCTGAGGCGGGAAAAAACCCAAAGAACAGGGAGATTAACAAAGATGGTAGCCCAGCAGTGTATCTGTTTGAAGTTCCCTGTAATGTATATTCTTTGATCGTATTGATCGTCCGTTCTCCAGTTCCGGTGTTGAAGGTACCGCATGTACGCTGGGGAAACCCGGTGCTTCCAGAACCTGGCTGGGCTGCAGTCTTTGTATGAGAGCAATGCTCGGCGCAAGCAGGAGGAGCGGGAGGCTGCGCAGAAGCTGCGCCAGCTTTTCGGCGACCTGACACATGCTCCCAAGAACAAGAAGACGGTCAAAACACTGGAAATCCAATTTCGGCGCACAGGAGGCCCTGTCATACCATCTACGACGATAGAACTGTCTCAGCTCAACATTAAGGCGGAGAAGGCGGCCCAGCCTGGAACGCGCCGGCCTGCCGCGGATGCTGCGGATGCTTTGGATGCTTTGGATGCCACTGCCGATGTTCCGGGCGAGGCCCCAAATGATGCGCTCTTGGGGGCGCCTGCGGAGGAACTGAAGCCCAAAGAGGCGGAGGAGGGGACCAGGGGGCAACTTGCTTCTGCTGATGTTGTGCTCAAACCTCCTCCCGACGCACCCAATGTACCCGATGCAACCGGTGCATCTGTTGAGCCGAAAAGCCTGCTTCCTCCTGGTGTCCCCGCAGTGCCTGCAAGGCTTGACGTGGTTTCAGATTTTGATGGCATCCAGGTGCTGAGTGATGACAGCGAGTCGTCAGACAGCGAGTCGCCAGACAGTGATGAGGCCAGCGAGGCAGAGATTAACGACGAGGACGACCAACTGCTGCGTGCGCTGGCGGCCTCGCTTCAAGAGTCAGATGAGCGCGCGCGACTCCCTTTCAGCTCCATCAATGGCATCAATGGAATCAATGGAGAGAGCCAAGACCCTTTGGCAGCGGCGCTGGAAGCATCCCGGTTATCGTTCGAGCAGGAGAGCCAGGAGCTCCAGGAGCGCCAGGAGCGCCAGGAGCGCCAGGAGCACAGTGCCACTCAGACGAAGCGCAGCTTGCCCGAGACGGAGGTCGCCGCACACGATTCTTTTCTCAAGAGGGCGCGCTTCTGCCAGACACTGTGTGCCATGGGTTTCGAGTTGCCGCCTGATGTGCTGAGCAACGTCTACCGGGACAGCGAAGGTGAACTGACCCTGGCAGTGGCGATGCTCACCAGTGACGCAGTGTAGCCCAGAGAATGCCCAGAAAGACCTAGAGAACTGAGCAGCGTGTGGCAGCGCAAGTGGTCCCAGCATGTGCCAGCCGTCGCGCCGCATCTTCATGAAGGCGTTGCCCTGGTTGACCTCGTGTTGCCCTGCTTCTGTACCTGAAGCCCTCAAGGCACTCCCGAGCTCTTCGGAGCTTTCGTCGTGGTCGTCCCTGAGCATGATTACTTTGGGATGTCGAAGCAGCCAACAAGAGAAGTAGATGGGCAGTTGGGTGTGGCAAGGGATACCTTACCAGCATACCTTGCCAGCAGCTGCAAAAGTGTTGGACTGAACTGTGTTGGGCAGAGTGATGGGCCGATCAAGCGTTTCCGAGGCGAAGTTGTGCCTGATGCATTGCAGCTAGCTGAACACATGTGAACACGTGCCCTGCATTGAGGTGTTGTGGCTCCTTTGTCAAGTTCATGAGCGTTGTGATCCTATTGTAGAATCTTTAAAGGGTTTGAAAGGGTCTGTCATTCATTTCCGTCTCATGGTTGTAGCTCCGAACTAAGCCATGCTGAAGACGCTGCACCAGAATTGAGACTCAACATATGTGTGGTCTAGCTGTACCCTGACTGTTTTATTTTAAGTGTGAGAGCTGGAGCGTGTGAAGTTGCCTGTTGGCATGTCCACATTGGAAGTTTGAGCCGGTGGCCAGCAACGCCTCATGACCGCAGGCCGGGTCGTTGCGTTTTCCGAGCAGCTCAGGGAGTTCAGCAAGTTAAGCATGCCTCCTTAGCTCCTTGGTGTACAGCTGGCCTTGAGACAGTTTTTCAGGTGAGGTCCTGCATCAGCCGCCGCTTGCATCGTCGGACGCCCTGACATTGGCTATGTTTCCGGTACTCGCAACAGTATGGGGGATAATGGTTGTAGTGAGATCATATTGATAGCGAGGAAAAGTGCCTGATATGTCTCAATATTCAAGCAGTGGCAGTTACAGCAGCAGTGACAGCAGCAGTGACAGCAGCAGTGATGGTGGTGGTGGTGGTGGTGGTGGGTGGCGGTGGTGGCGGTGGTGGCGGTGGTGGCGGTGGTGGCGGTGGTGGCGGTGGTGGCGGTGGTGGCGGTGGTGGCAGTGGTGGCGGTGGTGGCGGTGGTGGCGGTGGTGGTGGTGGTAAAGTCGTCGCAGTAGTCGTCGGCATCACTGCCGCGTGTTTTGTCTTAGCAAGTCTTAGTATTGTTGATGGTAGTGCCTGGTCCTAGTGTGGCAGGGTCTGTGACTGCAACGACTGTGACTCCACTTTTCGGGTTTACCAGGTACTTCATGGACTGGAGAGCATCTCCTGAAAGCACTCATGTAGTAAACACACAGACGGACCATGGGACGCCTGTAGAGACTCCGGTGATTGGGGCATGGCCCGGGTGCTCGTTGTCCAGCAGCCCAAGCTTTCGAGAGTTTCGCATAGCTGCAGCTGACCGGCTAGAAGGTTCGAGGTGCGCAGCTGCCCCTGTTTTCCTTGTGCCAGCTGTCCAAGGTCTCTCCTTGCAGGCTTTCGGTGCACAAGAGCAAATGGAGGTAGGGCATGTGCCCATGCGCTCTGTCCCAGTTCGGATGGATCTTATTCTTCATTTTTTCTCAGCGTGGGCTACTGCAGGATCTCGGGCCAGGATCCCTTCTTCCCAAGCTGACCTTAATTGACCTTCATGGCCATCAGTTACAAGGTTTGTCGTTATGTGCTCACCAGCTCTTCTGCCATCTGTTCAGGTAATGCTGGTGTGGTGGACGCTCTTGCTGCGCGGCTCCTTGGATCAAGAAAAGCCTTCAGTACGCTGCAATGCCCTCTGACTCGGGTTTCCAAAGCTGTGGAGCACAGGAGCGCTTTGGGGGCCCTTGGAGATCATTTTCCGGTGGCTGATTTTAGCTGACAGCTCCGAAGCGCATGCCGAGGATGGTGCACCGCCCTGCCTCTTGCCAGCATTTTCGAAATCCAGGCAGAGCAAGCACGTGACACTTGTCACCTCTCCGAGACTCTCTCTCTCTCTCTCTCTTGTCTCTCTCTCTCTCTCTCTCTCTCTCTCTCTCTTGTCTCTCTCTCTCTCGCTCTCTTGTCTCTCTCTCTGCCTCTCTCCCTGATCTTCTGCTCTCAGGCTGGACATGCCGACTCCTCGATCACAAGGAGGCTCCTCCCCCACCGCGCGCTGCTTCCCAAACATTCACCTTCCACCTCTTTTTGAGCCTTGCTTCTTAGGATGTCAGTGTAGCTTTAAGTAACACAAAACTCGTCCAACGCCCTGTACCCTGTACCCTGTACCCTGTACCCTGTACCCTGAAGTCGCTTGCTTCCTTAAGCGCTTCCCTGGAGAGGCTCCGCCTGCAAAGAGCTCCGAACGCCTTGCCCCAAGCCTTGCTCAAGGTGTCCCTTTTCGAGGATTTCAGGGCTTTGGAATGCTGGGCTTCCCGAACTTGGACTGTAAGGAGCACATCGCTTCCATTGCAGTGCCCGTTCCTGCCTTTCGGAAGCCTCGAGGAACACACGGTGCCCCTGCCCTCCGCATTCCGCATTCCATCCTTGCTGATCATGGCCATGATCCTGGATGCTCAGCTGCAGCAGGCCAGCCTTTTCAAGAAGGTCGCTGAGTCGATGAAGGACCTGTGCAAGGAGGTGAACTTCGACTGCTCGGAGAAGGGCATGCAAGTGCAGAGCATGGACAGTTCCCACGTGGCGCTGGTGTCGCTGATGCTTCGAGAGTCTGCTTTCTCGGAGTTCAAGTGTGATAGGCCCGTGTCGCTGGGCATGAACGTGGACTCCTTGACCAAGATTTTGAAGATGACCGGACCTAGCGATTCGTTGAAGATCCGGCACAAGGGCGACACCGACGTGGTCAACTTCCAGTGCGAGGGCTCGGACGACCGCATCTCGGAGTTTGACCTCAAGCTGTTCCAGATCGAGAACGAGCACATGGAGATCCCAGAGCAGCACTACAAAGTGGTCGCGAAGATGCCCTCCAGCGAGTTCCAAAAGATCTGCAGGGACCTCAAGGAGTTTGGGGAGACCCTGCACTTGACCGGTGACAAAGATGGGCTCAAGTTCGTTGTGCCACTTGCCTTTACATTTCCATGCTTGTTGCTTTTCTTTCTCATGTTGTACTGACGCAGTCTTTTTGAAATTGACCGTTGGGCCGTTTAGCCAACTTAAATTTCCTTGGTTCAGCAGACTTGTCAACATCGTGGTGGGTGTTGAATTATTGGTTGGGATGTTGGCCACGTCAGGTCCGGTGACATCGGAAGCGGCAACGTGCTGCTAAAGCCGCGGGAGACGGACAAGCCAGAGGACAAGGTGTCTCTCACAGTGCACGAGCCGGTTACCGCTGCCTTTGCCTTGCGCTACTTGGTGAACTTCTCGAAGGCATCGCCCCTCTGTGGCTCCGTCACCCTGGGCTTTGCCCCGGATGCACCCCTGCTGGTGCAGTACGACCTCGAGACGGAGGACAAGGGCCACATGAAGTTCTACCTCGCGCCGAAGATCGATGAGTGAAGGCTTCTGAGCTCGAGCTCTCTGGGCCTCTAGGCTTACTGTTTCACGTTCGAAGATTTAGTAGTCTGGTTTACCGGGGTCCACCAGGGTAGCAGCTGAGTAACGAGCCCTGGGCTTCACAGCTGGTGGCTTTTCAAATGGCCACCCTTGTGTCGGGAGCGGCTTGACCCACAACTCAGATGCATGCTCAGAAGAAAAGGGGTGCTCGGAGCGTTCGGGCATCGCCTCCGCGCAAAGGCTTGTGGCCCCAAAGCATGAAGAAAGCCCGGACAGAGTGCGGACATGCTGCGTTCTCTCCGGTTCGCTGGGAGCCTCGAGGAACACACGGTGCCCTTGCCCTCCGCATTCCGCATTCCATCCTTGCTGATCATGGCCATGATCCTGGATGCTCAGCTGCAGCAGGCCAGCCTTTTCAAGAAGGTCGCTGAGTCGATGAAGGACCTGTGCAAGGAGGTGAACTTCGACTGCTCGGAGAAGGGCATGCAAGTGCAGAGCATGGACAGTTCCCACGTGGCGCTGGTGTCGCTGATGCTTCGAGGGTCTGCTTTCTCGGAGTTCAAGTGTGATAGGCCCGTGTCGCTGGGCATGAACGTGGACTCCTTGACCAAGATTTTGAAGATGACCGGACCTAGCGATTCGTTGAAGATCCGGCACAAGGGCGACACCGACGTGGTCAACTTCCAGTGCGAGGGCTCGGACGACCGCATCTCAGAGTTTGACCTCAAGCTGTTCCAGATCGAGAACGAGCACATGGAGATCCCAGAGCAGCACTACAAAGTGGTCGCGAAGATGCCCTCCAGCGAGTTCCAAAAGATCTGCAGGGACCTCAAGGAGTTTGGGGAGACCCTGCACTTGACCGGTGACAAAGATGGGCTCAAGTTCGTTGTGCCACTTGCCTTTACATTTCCATGCTTGTTGCTTTTCTTTCTCATGTTGTACTGACGCAGTCTTTTTGAAATTGACCGTTGAGCCGTTTAGCCAACTTACTTGGTTCAGCAGACTTGTCAACATCGTGGTGGGTGCTGAATTATTGGTTGGGATGTTGGCCACGTCAGGTCCGGTGACATCGGAAGCGGCAACGTGCTGCTAAAGCCGCGGGAGACGGACAAGCCAGAGGACAAGGTGTCTCTCACAGTGCACGAGCCGGTTACCGCTGCCTTTGCCTTGCGCTACTTGGTGAACTTCTCGAAGGCATCGCCCCTCTGTGGCTCCGTCACCCTGGGCTTTGCCCCGGATGCACCCCTGCTGGTGCAGTACGACCTCGAGACGGAGGACAAGGGCCACATGAAGTTCTACCTCGCGCCGAAGATCGATGAGTGAAGGCTTCTGAGCTCGAGCTCTCTAGGCCTCTAGGCTTACCGTTTCACGTTCGAAGATTTAGTAGTCTGGTTTACCGGGGTCCACCAGGGTAGCAGCTGAGTAACGAGCCCTGGGCTTCACAGCTGGTGGCTTTTCAAATGGCCACCCTTGTGTCGGGAGCGGCTTGACCCACAACTCAGATGCATGCTCAGAAGAAAAGGGGTGCTCGGAGCGTTCGGGCATCGCCTCCGCGCAAAGGCTTGTGGCCCCAAAGCATGAAGAAAGCCCGGACAGAGTGCGGACATGCTGCGTTCTCTCCGGTTCGCTGGGAGCCTCGAGGAACACACGGTGCCCTTGCCCTCCGCATTCCGCATTCCATCCTTGCTGATCATGGCCATGATCCTGGATGCTCAGCTGCAGCAGGCCAGCCTTTTCAAGAAGGTCGCTGAGTCGATGAAGGACCTGTGCAAGGAGGTGAACTTCGACTGCTCGGAGAAGGGCATGCAAGTGCAGAGCATGGACAGTTCCCACGTGGCGCTGGTGTCGCTGATGCTTCGAGAGTCTGCTTTCTCGGAGTTCAAGTGTGATAGGCCCGTGTCGCTGGGCATGAACGTGGACTCCTTGACCAAGATTTTGAAGATGACCGGACCTAGCGATTCGTTGAAGATCCGGCACAAGGGCGACACCGACGTGGTCAACTTCCAGTGCGAGGGCTCGGACGACCGCATCTCAGAGTTTGACCTCAAGCTGTTCCAGATCGAGAACGAGCACATGGAGATCCCAGAGCAGCACTACAAAGTGGTCGCGAAGATGCCCTCCAGCGAGTTCCAAAAGATCTGCAGGGACCTCAAGGAGTTTGGGGAGACCCTGCACTTGACCGGTGACAAAGATGGGCTCAAGTTCGTTGTGCCACTTGCCTTTACATTTCCATGCTTGTTGCTTTTCTTTCTCATGTTGTACTGACGCAGTCTTTTTGAAATTGACCGTTGAGCCGTTTAGCCAACTTACTTGGTTCAGCAGACTTGTCAACATCGTGGTGGGTGTTGAATTATTGGTTGGGATGTTGGCCACGTCAGGTCCGGTGACATCGGAAGCGGCAACGTGCTGCTGAAGCCGCGGGAGACGGACAAGCCAGAGGACAAGGTGTCTCTCACAGTGCACGAGCCGGTTACCGCTGCCTTTGCCTTGCGCTACTTGGTGAACTTCTCGAAGGCATCGCCCCTCTGTGGCTCCGTCACCCTGGGCTTTGCCCCGGATGCACCCCTGCTGGTGCAGTACGACCTCGAGACGGAGGACAAGGGCCACATGAAGTTCTACCTCGCGCCGAAGATCGATGAGTGAAGGCTTCTGAGCTCGAGCTCTCTGGGCCTCTAGGCTTACTGTTTCACGTTCGAAGATTTAGTAGTCTGGTTTACCGGGGTCCACCAGGGTAGCAGCTGAGTAACGAGCCCTGGGCTTCACAGCTGGTGGCTTTTCAAATGGCCACCCTTGTGTCGGGAGCGGCTTGACCCACAACTCAGATGCATGCTCAGAAGAAAAGGGGTGCTCGGAGCGTTCGGGCATCGCCTCCGCGCAAAGGCTTGTGGCCCCAAAGCATGAAGAAAGCCCGGACAGAGTGCGGACATGCTGCGTTCTCTCCGGTTCGCTGGGAGCCTCGAGGAACACACGGTGCCCTTGCCCTCCGCATTCCGCATTCCATCCTTGCTGATCATGGCCATGATCCTGGATGCTCAGCTGCAGCAGGCCAGCCTTTTCAAGAAGGTCGCTGAGTCGATGAAGGACCTGTGCAAGGAGGTGAACTTCGACTGCTCGGAGAAGGGCATGCAAGTGCAGAGCATGGACAGTTCCCACGTGGCGCTGGTGTCGCTGATGCTTCGAGAGTCTGCTTTCTCGGAGTTCAAGTGTGATAGGCCCGTGTCGCTGGGCATGAACGTGGACTCCTTGACCAAGATTTTGAAGATGACTGGACCTAGCGATTCGTTGAAGATCCGGCACAAGGGCGACACCGACGTGGTCAACTTCCAGTGCGAGGGCTCGGACGACCGCATCTCGGAGTTTGACCTCAAGCTGTTCCAGATCGAGAACGAGCACATGGAGATCCCAGAGCAGCACTACAAAGTGGTCGCGAAGATGCCCTCCAGCGAGTTCCAAAAGATCTGCAGGGACCTCAAGGAGTTTGGGGAGACCCTGCACTTGACCGGTGACAAAGATGGGCTCAAGTTCGTTGTGCCACTTGCCTTTACATTTCCATGCTTGTTGCTTTTCTTTCTCATGTTGTACTGACGCAGTCTTTTTGAAATTGACCGTTGGGCCGTTTAGCCAACTTAAATTTCCTTGGTTCAGCAGACTTGTCAACATCGTGGTGGGTGTTGAATTATTGGTTGGGATGTTGGCCACGTCAGGTCCGGTGACATCGGAAGCGGCAACGTGCTGCTGAAGCCGCGGGAGACGGACAAGCCAGAGGACAAGGTGTCTCTCACAGTGCACGAGCCGGTTACCGCTGCCTTTGCCTTGCGCTACTTGGTGAACTTCTCGAAGGCATCGCCCCTCTGTGGCTCCGTCACCCTGGGCTTTGCCCCGGATGCACCCCTGCTGGTGCAGTACGACCTCGAGACGGAGGACAAGGGCCACATGAAGTTCTACCTCGCGCCGAAGATCGATGAGTGAAGGCTTCTGAGCTCGAGCTCTCTAGGCCTCTAGGCTTACCGTTTCACGTTCGAAGATTTAGTAGTCTGGTTTACCGGGGTCCACCAGGGTAGCAGCTGAGTAACGAGCCCTGGGCTTCACAGCTGGTGGCTTTTCAAATGGCCACCCTTGTGTCGGGAGCGGCTTGACCCACAACTCAGATGCATGCTCAGAAGAAAAGGGGCGCTCGGAGTGTTGTGACTCTGCGCAACGCAAACCTGAACATGAGCAACCTGGGCCAGTGAGCTTAGGCTTAGCACGCAAGCTTCAGCCTCTTTGTTGAGCAGGGCAGCCAGCTAGGAGGTGAGCTCCGGCCCTAAAATACGAACAAGAAGAAACCAAGGACATGTAGGAAGGTGTATGTAGGCGTAGGTCCGATGGTTGGAAAAAGCGTTTGTTGTCAAAAGCCGCTTTGTCAACAGCAAAACGCTCGCGGCACTTGGCCTTGGCCTAGGTCTTTCCGCGAACTCCGCGAGCATTCCGTCCAGGCGCTCTCCGGGTCCCAGAGCCGAGGAATTTTCATAGTTCTTCGTTCTACTCGCAGGGGTTGCTCGGAAACGGAATGCTTTTCTTGTAGGCTCAAAATTGAAGCGGCTTTTTTGGGGGTTCGGCGGTTTCATCGGTTTCGGGTCCTGAGGGTCTGACATGGTCGCTGGCAAAGCGATTCAGACGGGATTCCCCACCCTGCAAAACCCCCCAAGAAAGGCCTCCTGCAAGTTCCCTGACTGGACAAGGCAGATGTGGAGGATGATGGTGTGTTCCTGGAAAAGGAGTCAGAGGCTCGCGCCTCGGAAATGGGGGGAACTTGATGCCTCAAGTAGGCTCGAACTTTGATGAACCGTTGCGCTTAATCACGGGGTCGTATTTAGAATCCTTGCCCCGGATATGTTCTGATTCTGATGCTGGGTCTGAACAAAAGGTTGGGTGGGGTTTCTTCTGTGCCGCTTGTGGGGGCCACTTCTGGTTCTTGTCGCGGGCCTCCTCTGGGGACTCCTCTGGGCCACTTCTTCTGAGCCTGTTCTGGGCTTCTTCTCGGCTGCTTCTGGGCTGGCAACAAGATCTCCAAACATCAGAGCTTCTTGGGACTTTTTCCGGAAATACTTTTTTGGCTATTACTATCAACCCCTTTTGGTGATTATCACCCCCCTTCAAAATGGGACAACAGGCTCTGGACAACCTCACATACTGGAAATCGTTCATGAAAGAGACTTTTCGGCCCAAGTCGCGGCCAAAAAACTTTTTCTCTGTCATCCACCCCCCCTTTTGTTTCATTTCTTTGAAGTCTTGCCCCGTGCTTTATAGCCAAGATCATGCCGTAAGAGGCCTTGTCCTAGCTCCTCATGCGAGGGGGCGGCGGGGGGCTGCCAAGCCCCCCGCTTTTGATTTTGTTGAAGCCCTGCAAGCTTGCTTTATAAAGAAGATCGTACCATGAATGGGACAGCCTTTTTGCCTGTATATTTTGATAAACAACATTTAGCCTCTGTCTCCTTTTGTTTCCCGCCCTCAGTGGGTGGTTGATTGTTTGCGGACAACTATGCCCGCATGCAGCCGTACACAACAACCATCGGAAGCGCTCTACTCCCACTGGGCGGGATAGGAGGACATGACAGGGATAAGACAGGAACAAGGTATGAAGAGGGCAGATATGAGGTGGACAGATATGAGGAGAGATAGCGAGAAAGGAGACAGGACAGGCAAGAGGAAGATTCGCAGAGACAGCAGGAAAGGAAGCGGGACACATAGGAGGACAGACAACAGGTACCGGCCAGAAAGCGGCCAGCAGGCCTCTCAGGCCGGCTCCACCGTGCTCCGAAGAACAGCCGCCATATTGTGGCGACTGTCCCCAAGATACCACTGCAATTTCCCGCAGCCTGTCCCGACCTGTATATGCACTGGGCATACCCATTCTACTACGACTAGAAGTTCCAACGAGGAAAAGCAGATTCGCCTTGTCTTGCGTCACAAGACAACAAGCTCAACCCACTTCTTTTAGATTTTAGATTCAGGGCCAAACCGAGCAGGATAGCGCATTGAGGGGGGGGGGGGGGGGGGGGGGGTGGGGTGGGGGGGTGATGGCACACAGACTCCGGCAAAGGATCCCGAAAGTCGATTTCCTCCTCATATCTGTCCATATCTGTCCTCGTTTCTGTCCTATCTTCTGTCATGTCCTCCTATCGCGCTGAGTTGTAGAAGAGCGCTGTTGACGGTGATTGTTGTTCACGGCTGCATGCTAAGACCTGACAACCCCACTGGGGTAGGAAAATACAAAGTGAAAAACTCAAAGATCCAAGACTCCTCTTCAAGACTCTTCAAGACTCAATGGCAAGAACGGGCCGCCGAAAGAAGACTGGCCGAGATGCTCAGCCATTCACGAATAATCGGGCTGCGCCAGTGTGCTAGGTTTTTCCGGATGACACAAAGTTGACCAGAAGCCACTCTTAAATTCAAGCCTTAATGTGGGGAGAAGCCCCCAAACCCCAAGTGGGGGATCTGTGTAAATCGCATCCTCGAGCCCCTTGAACCCTCAAATGACTGGACAAATGGGGTAGGAGGCATGTGCTCAGAGCGGAACCCCTAAAGTTCGACGATTCAGCGGAGGCGCCGGCCCGTTTCCTCGAGTCCCTCGAATCCATCGAGTCCCTCTACGGGACCGAAAGGGTTCGAAAGAGTTCGAAAGGGCTCGAAAGGGCTCGAAAGGGCTCGGAATTGGGTGATCGCGTGGGGCCTTTCAGCGACAGTTTTTCAGGTTCAGAAGAAGGGCCTGTAGCGCCTGTGACTCCCCTTTCCTTTGTTCGCATCGAATTTTTTTCGTCATGTGCCCCACCACGCTCTCGCCAGAGTCCTGCGCACATTTCGTGGTCGAAGTCGTGTTCCCACCGCAGTGCCATGTGCCAGCTCTTCACAAAGTGTTGAACTGTCGCGTGCTTTTGGTTCTGAATTTGGAGGGGGGATGCGATTAGTAGAACGCGGTGCGCTGCGTTCAGTGTACGCTCTGGGACTCTGAGCCGTAAGCTGCAGACATTTTCCAAGCCCAAGCCTTCAAGCTTCCTGCAAAAAGCGCGAGGACCGCACTCCCCACAGCCTGGGAGCACTTCCCTCACCTTTCGGCTTCACCGTTGGCGGAGGGCCCGGCCCTCCTCGAGCTGCGATTCAGGCGTGCTCTTGCGCCCTCCCACAACGGGGCGGGGGGGCGGGGAAGGAGTGGGAAAGGATACTGGGGTGGCGGAGTCCGTTGGAAGTTCGCGTGTGGATCCACTTCGCAGGCCAAGTTTTTGTCTCTGGCATTCTTGGGGGTGTTTCTTTGTTACAGCTTCAGAGTTCATAATCGAAACTCAAGATGCTAAAGGAGCCCGTGCATCGCAGAAGCTGTAGCAGGCCACATAGCGAAATTGGCTTTGACGTTTTTCTTTTCCGAAGGCCTTTCACAACCTCGACCGCAACGGTCTCACTGCGTGGCCCGGAAAGCATACGCTGCTTGGCAGTCGGGAGAGGACTGTTTCAGAATGAGGAAACCGAGAGCGGCAGGATTGAGGGCTCCCTGAAGGGCCTGGAAGTCCCACCATGCACGGACAGTATGCATGCCATGCCATGCATGATGGAGAAAGCTCTGCCCTTGCTGAGTTTCAAGTTCTTCAGTGATTTTGCAAGGCTTCTTCTGCCAGAACCTGCTTCTGATCCCTTTGCTGGCCCTGCCCCAGTGCAGCACCCACAACAGCAGCCTGCAGATCTCCTTGCGGGAGGACGGCTGGCAAAGGGGCTGTAGGACTGTAGGATCTTTGGGAGTTCAGGCCCTAGGGCCTTCTTGGGGTGTCCTGCGTACTTCTTACATGCAAGACGAGGCAACCCGTCCCTGTGATGCAAAAGCCTGAGACCGGAGTCAGATCCTAAGTCAGATCCTGAGACCTGAGACCGGCCCGGGGAGGAGTCAAAGTTCAGCGAATCGCAGACGTACCTTCTGCAAATCGACGTGCAGCATCTACCAGGCACTCAGGAGAGAACCGTTTCTCTGCGACTGAGAACTGTTCCGGACTTTGGGGACCGCTGTTTGGACGATTCCGTGGGCTGGGCTTGGAGTGGGGAGGGGATGCCGTGTGCAAGGCTTGTAGAAACCAAAGCGCTTGGACAGGCTCTTGGCGGCCAGACGAAGATCAGCAAGAGGCCTTCAAATGCCTGTTACAAGCACGGGTCAAGTGGCAAGCCTGAGTTGTTGTGTTTTTTGTGTTTGCTTTTGACGGCTCATCGTATAGAGAGAAAAGTTCGGAGTAGGAAGCTCCCTGGCCCCCAACGCAGGTGCTGCTGCGGCCGGCAGGGGTGACAGAGGCGTTGTGGTGGCTAAGCGCCACGCCCAACGTTGGGTAAGCCGGGGAAAGTTCGGGGTTCAGTGTGTCTTCTTGTTGTGTCCGTCCTTCCGGCGATGTTTTTGTCCTTCGGAACGGTTGCAGGGAGCAAAGGAGCCGGTGACATTCTTTTTCCAATATGCATGTGGCCATCTCGTACTCTGCTCCCTTAAGGCTTCGACGATGCCGCCGGCAGGATCCTGGCCTTCACGGAACGCCTCCCAGGGTGCCGTGGCGCTAATCGAGGAGGTGTAATCTCGGTGCATGTGTTTCTGCGTGGAGGGTTCAGGGGAAGAGGGCTGAGGGGGACTTCAAGCGCGTTTCTGCCTTGAGGCCAGAAAGAACCCTAGTACGAAGTGCAGTAGTAGCAGTGCAACAGACCTTCGGTGTGGGGACTTGGTCGCAGGGCAACATGAAGGCAGAAATGCGGACCTACCGAAAGCAGAAACTCGTCTGCTGCTCTAAATCCAAAGAATCACCTGCTTCCTTATTGCAAAAAAGAGACTTGTTGTGATGTGTAGCGTTGTGAAACGCGCCCAGTGTCTCTGACTTCTGGGATGGACACAGGCCTTGATTCCTCCCTTGCGAGCACATATGTTCCATTGTTACGTGCCAGCCGACCGTCGCGCGCGATGTTGAACCGGCTTAACCGGCTTGTGCGTGGCCGAGGTATCCAGTGTGGCCTGTGGCCCTTGATGTTGGCTTGGTGCCTTGGCTGGTTGACCGTCGGGCATGGGCCATCGCTCTCTGTACATGACACTCTCAGGGGGCATCTTAGTACCTGCTAGCGTGCTGCCCGAAACCAGTCCTGCATCAAAGGCCCCTGAATCACTAAACAACCAGGTTTAATTCTATTTACTGACCACGCGCTCAGCCGCTAAGCGTCGGACCCACCACAGAAGCTATGCCAGGATTTCGTTTCCCTACCACTGGCCCCTCTCCCACCAGGCCAGTTTTTGGATTTTTGACTGTTAAATGCGTTTTGTCTACCTTCTGTTTTGCATCCACTGGGTAGTGGGTTGGGCAGTGATGCAACGAATGAAAGTTGAGTGTTCTTTCTCTGTCTCTCTCTCTCTCTCGCTGTCTTTTGGCGCGACGAGGCTCTCGGCTGCTAAGAAGAGGGCCGTCACCGCACCGATTGGATTCGATTCGCTTTTGCGCAGGCTCCCCATCGCTCTTGGCGCTCACGTTCCGGCTCCCTGAGGCGCCCAGCCCGCACCCAGCATTTACAGCGAGTTTAAAGCCTGGTTTTTTTCTAAAAACGGACACAGCACCGCTTCGAGCTTGTGTGAGCCGCATTTCAGCAATCATCCCGACTTAGGCCTGCAAGGTTCCAAAGCTCTGCAAATTCTCAGCTAAAGCCTGAGGAGGCAGAGCACAGCGGGAATTCCCTCACGACCCCCCGTCCTCCAAACAAAAGCTGGCACGGATATCATGAAAGCGGCGAGGATTTGTCGGGAACCATCTCCAACGTCCTGCGGCTCTATGCTCCCCGGCGCAAAGCTTCACAGGATCATGGCCCAGAATGCAGCAACCTGTAGTTTCTTTGATTCGCATCAGCATCGCATGAACCATCCGAGCAATCCAAAAGCTAAGAAAGATACCGAACAAATCCGATTGCACACACACACACACAGATTTCCACAATAGAAGTGCCAATATCATGGTGGGTAAGCCAGGATTGGTGGCAGGTCATGGCAGGTCATGGCAGGTCATGGCAGGTCATGGCAGGTCATGGCAGGTCATGGCAGGTCAGGTTATGGCAGGTCGGCTGCACAAACTATTGCTCGAGAAGCGCTGCCCATGTGCTTGGATTCAACTTTGAGGCTCCCCTTGGATACAGCTTCAACTGCAGCACGCTGGCGGCATGGGTCACTGGGTTGGGGCTGGAAGGACCTAGGGATCAGAAAGGTGAGGTGGAGGACATGACCGCACCCGACCCTTGAAGGGGTGTAGGTGTCATTTTTCTGGTAAGCCAGAAATATTGTTATCTCTCACTGTTTTTTTGTCTAGAATTGTTTCCTCTTTTTTTTCGTTTCTTCTCTCTTGTTCCCCACCCTCGGCGTGGGGTTGTTAGATTTTGGCCTCAGCTCTTCTCCTCGCCCGGTCAACTCCTCGCTCATCCCTGGAGTGCCCACCCCCGAAGTGTCCCTGCCCAACTCTAGAGTGTCCCTGGAGTGCCCAATCTAGAGTGTCCCCCAACCCCAGATTGTCCCCGGAGTGCCCGTCTCCCTGAGTGCCCGCCCAACCTTAGAGTGTTCCCGGAGTGCGCAGCAACCCCGGAGTGTCCCCGGAGTGCCGGAGTGCCCAGCCCCAGAGTCTCCCTGGAGTGCCCAACCCCAGACCCCAGAGTATCTCTACCAAGAGAGGATGTTCGAAGTAAAATAATTTATGTTTTTTCTTCATCGTTCATTCTCTTTTGGCAAAGGTCTTTTGCCAAATGTTCATCTTTTTTTGTTTGTTTTCTGTTTTCTCCTGCTCTCTTTCACAGAAGTGGAGACCCCCTTCCTCAGAAGTTGGAGCCTCTGTTGCGGCCGAGGCCTGGAGGCACCCCAGGCGTTGCTCGCCCTGGGCGAGGAGGCTTCGAAGAGGGTTGACAGTGGGGGGGGAGAGCTACAGGGGCTGCGGGCGGGATTGCTCAAGAGCTGCTCAAAGTGCAGCGGACCTTAAGTTTTCAAGCTACGGGCTGAGTCTGCAGACCAAGTCTTCGTACCCGGGATGCGATTCCTATGCCCAACCCAAAACCTACGAAAGCTGCCAGGTATTGCCCATTCAGAATGCCAGTTGCGTTGCTGCACAAGGCCGGAATATGTCGGAAACTACATAAGCAAGAGGTCTTGAACTCGGGTTGCTGGTCGACCCTGCGGGAGGACAAGACCTCAACATTATTTAGCGTTTGTGTTGAATTGTTCGGGCAAGTTCTGCAGTGGCTGAAGACTGTCGATGCTGTGGCCAGGAAGCGACATACAAGAACGGCTCGTGCTGCAGCTTCCGGCGGCCAGGGTGGCTTCTCTTAGCACGTCGCCGTAAGAGTTGGGAACCGGCGAAGCATATTGTATCCTGTGCCCTCGGCCCAGTGAAATGCTCTTGCCACACGGAGGTGCTGGAGGCCGATGTGAACTACAGCTCCTTGGATGCCTCCTTGCTTCCGTGCCTCTGACCGCTAGCAGCCACCATAGGGAATTCACCCCGAACTCGAATGAACTCTAATGACTCTAATGAACTCCTTTATAGGTTTAGCATCACGAAGCACTTTGTCACATTCCGAAGACCCCGAAATGCGGTGTGGTTGGTTGTGGAGACTGGAATTTTCGAGTGTGACTTTCTCATTAGACGTTGGAGTTTTGTGGCGATGCCACGCAGCTGGCATTAGACTGTGGAGTTTTGTTGCGATGCTGCGCAGCTGGTTATCGTCAAGAGCTCTGGTGGAGCTTGCAGTGCAGGTAAACAGTTAAATGTCGTGTCCATGAAGACTATCGTGTGGGTTTGCCTGCTCAGTACGGCAGCATGCCAGTACTGTGAAGACTGTCGAGGAGTGATCACCCCGTTTTGCAGCGAGTCCTGTACATGCAACAAGTGCCAGGGCGATGTTGGCTCCCTCTATGGCAAGTGGAGCTGCACAGGGTGCCAGGGCAAACTAACCCCGTGGTGTGGCAGATGGTGCTGGTGCAGCAGCTGCGAGGAGCTGTCTAGCCCTTTTGACCTTCTGGCTTGGGAAGAAGGTGGAGGAAGAGAGTTATGGTCGCAGAACATGATGGTTGGACTTGCTGTGTGCGCGGCATTTGGTGGAGTTCTCCTTATTCAGTGCTTATTGGTGTGCAAGACTAGTATCAGGAGCACTGATGCCATGCAAACGCCCCTGCTCAGTTCTGAACCAGCTGATTCCGTGCCCGTCGAAGACCCAAGACGCTGAGGCAGGCAAGGCTTTCGAGCTGGATGTCCGTGAAGCCCAGCAACAGCGGGTAGGTGCTTGCGATTCTTTTTTGCGGCACCTGCTGCCGCAGAACTTCTGATGCTCTCCGTATACTGCTACACCTGCCGAACAGCATCGCTCTGACAAAGAAGCGTCCTCGTCTTTTCCGCGGGTGAATTCCTGAGCATCCTCCTGTGCAGGGGATGTAAACCGTGCACGGAGCTGTTCTTCCTCAATCCTTCTTCCTAATCAATCCCAATCCCCATCCCAAACTCCGCAGCAGCATAGCGTCAACAATCAGCCCAGAAACAGATAAGAGCAGAAACCTCGAAAGTGGAAGGGTTATCAAAGTTAAGGCTTCACGGTGGCCGTGAACCTTCCCACCGAGCTTGCAGCCACCGCCACGGAGGAGGTGGAAGGGCCAGCATACAACAAGCTTTCTAGCCACTGGTCAGCCAACACAGTGCGGGCCGGCCACATGCAGTAAGTGTGGCTTCGCACACGTGTTTGAAATTTTCTGGCTGTGTTTGGTGTGATCATGGGCAGAAGTGAGGATCTCCACGTGAGGGTCATCGATCATGCCCCAAGCCTTCAAATCCACGCTCCCCGAACATGGCGAGGGGACCCAACATGTTCATGCTCATCATGATTCTGCTGATAAGGGCCCTGATCTCGCATTCGGGGTAAGTGATTCGGATCTTCATCATGAGGGCTGTGCAGCGGTGCCCACAGGCAACGCGGTGGTACTTCAGCGTGCAGGCCGGCAACCGGCAAAAGAGTTCCTCGTGTTGAAAAAGCGGACGGTCGCCGCGGTCGCCCTTTGACGATGCCGCCAGCCCTGGCTATCCTGTCCCCTCACCTCCGAACTCCGAAAAGAAGCATGCCCAAAAAAATGCACCCTTTTGAAAGGAGTTCCCTTCTCAAGAGAGACTAGAGGAAACATATGCCATCATATGCCCCTACGGAGGCCTTCGAAGCTGCCCTGGGCGGCGCCGAGTCGCAGCCTTGGCCTCTCCAGGACCTGGCCGGGGGCCTTAAAGAATGCAGAAGAATGCAGAAGAGGACGTCTTGGGGTGTGTGGCCTCCCCTAGTTTCATGTTTTCATGTTTTGAATTGGGAGTTGAATTAGGAATGAAGCCCAGATGAGGCTCTCTTAGGGTGTGGCTTTCTAAGACACGATTGAATGCTGTGTAATGAAGAGGCCCCCAAAGAGGATTTAGGGCGGGTCTGGCCTTAAATGTTTACGAACATGCCACAGAAGAGGATTTCGTAAGGTGGGGCCTTTTTAAGACTGGACTTCTCAGAGGAGGGTTTCTTCGGGTGGCCGTGGCCTTATTCGTTCGACACCCAAAAGATGACGTCTTAGGGTGTTGCCTCATATAAAGTTCTAGCTAGACTTGGATGTGGACGAAGCCCAGATGACAATTTTGTAGGGTGTAGCCTTTTTTAATATGATCTTCCAATCAGAAATAAGCTCGACGTAAGCCCAGATGAGACCTGCACTACGAACGAAGCCCAAAGTCTCAAAAGATAAGCTTTCAGGGGGTGGCCTTTAGAGGAGCATTTCTTTTGGCCCTATTTGTACTCACAAACAACGAACGAGGTCCGGAACCTCTCCCAGACCTGTCGCGGTAGATCATGGGGGCGGGGGGAGAAAAACTACAAACATACATGTGCATGCAAAAGAAGTCAACAAAAGTGTATATGAGGCCCTGTCACTTCGCGTTCCGGCGGCATCTCCGGGCAGCGCGGCGCCGTTGCAGACGGCGCGAGCGAAGTATTTTGAGGGTCCTATAGGGGACCTGACGCCTAGAATCCGCCCCTGGAGGCATTGAAGCTGAACCAGCTCCTGTCTTCGCCCAAAGAGGTGGGATCCACGGCCTCGTTGGGGGTTGAAGGTCGCTGGAGGTGTTTGGAGGGGAGGAGTTTGCGACATTCGACACTCTGCAAAGGCTCTCGCCTGAATCCGAACTGTTTTTATACTTTGTTTATTTTGCTGTGGCACTTGTTGGGGGGAGATTTGTATTGTCACTGCAAGGGCAACTCGCTGGCTTGCATCGAATTGGCTGCTTGGCGACGTCTGGCCACTTGTGCATCCTTGGGATGAAGGCGGCCTTCGAAGGAGGTTTCAGAGACTTGGTGATGTATCGCGGTGTATCAGGTAGGGCAGGGCACGCTAATTGCGACGATGATGTCGTCACCTGGACCTAAACTCCCTTACGCTTTTACACTTTACACGTACAATTAAAGAGCAAATTGGGGTATCCATCTTTCCAATATGCGTGCCCAAGTAGATAGTTATTTTGGTATTTTGAATGGTTCGGGGCTTGCAGTAGATGATAGCATTTCTTTCATCATGGAAGAGATGGTATCAAATACTCAGGAATCTCAAGGTGTTGCAATTCTTCAAGACGCTTCCCGAAAAATAGGAACCTGCTGCCCGAAGAATTTGAACTCTCTCTTGGAAAATGTGAATGCACTCCCCACAAACTGTGAACGTGCTTCCCGCTTCCCCTAAATGTGCGAGCTCGTTCCCCGAAATATAGGAACACGCTCCCCGAAAAAATGGGAACACGCTCCCTCTGAAACCGTCCGATGCAGGAGAAGACACTCACGATGACACGTGTGCATGAAGTTTTCTTGCCACTTGCAGTGTTGAGTTTTGTCTGCTCTGTTGCTAGTCTGAGCCTTCCCTCAATTCTTTGCCTGCCAGGTTGGCATAGACTCCTCTATGCCAACCTTGCAGGCTGCAAGCTAAAGGGAGGTGGGCGCTCCACGTTGAAGGGCAGGACGAGGCAGTAGTTGCCCTCCCCAGCGAGAAATTGAAAACCACCACTTTCACGACCAAAAAACTGAAAAGAATCTCCTTTTTGAGGATAGTTTTGCTGTGGACCTTGTCAAGACCTTTGAATAATGAAACGTTGCAAAGACTGATGTGGGTTTTGTGATACGCAGACTGACTTTGAGCATTCAATGTTTGTTGCTGGTGCTCAAGCTCCATCAACAACCTGTAAGTACTGCAGAGAAGACCCCTAGGATGATAGTTCAAAAGCGGTAGGACTTGTAAAGATTTTAGTCTAGTTTTGCGCATACGTGCGACGCTTCAGAAGAAATCGAAAGAAAACACGAAGAACTGCGAGATTTGAGTGCAGTGTGACAGACAGAGTTCGAAACTTAGTACGACCCCAAGGGAAATCCATCACCGGAGCTCATAGATTAAGAAATTGAATGGAGCAACCCAAGGAAGAAACAGTGAGATATTACAACTTTGTATATGATGCAGACAAGAACCTGTATTTCAAAGCGAAAAAGCGGCGATTTAAAAGAAACACAAAGACGATGTACATTAGAGCATGGATATTGAGACACAGAGCTGCATGAAATGTAAGAATGTAAAAGAAGCCAAAGACGCCAGTCAGTTCAAAACTTGTGCGATATGTGGAAAGAAGGGCCGCCAAAATCATATGAATAGCCGAGAAAGAGCCAATGAAGAAGGAAATTTCCCCGCGAAGAAAACAGGAACACGACAGGGAGTGCTTACAAGCATAGCGACAGAAAGTTTTCTTACCATGAACTACCTGTATTTCATCAGTTTCGGGTAGCACTTCCTCGTCAGGATTTATCTTTCTTGCCAAGCTGTCCTGGTGGAACTTTGATTTGTCGTGTTGTGATTGCTTGTATTTCTTAAACTCGTGATTACATACTGGACAAGCAACGGCAACATCTTTTGCATGATTGTGATATTACTTTTTCTATTCTTCAAATTTTTGGGGTTGTTTGCTCTGTCGGTTTGGCGCTGTTGGTTGATTATGTCTTTTTCTCTTCTTGGTAGTTTTGCCATCTTTCGTTGTTGTTTGTTCTGTGATGTCCTGGGTGGAAGAACCACAGACAACAACAGTCACATGACTAAGCGAAGTAGGTTAGCATCTGGGTTAGCATCTGTTTTCTAGACACAGCTTGGAAAACCATGCCCCCAAGCCCCGAACCGCCCAAAATGCCATAATTCTGTCTACTTGAGCACCTACGAGGTGTAACAGCGGGGGGGGGGTATAGGTCGCCAATATGCCCTGCTGGCTCTCCCCTAGGTTGCCGGCGAGGGATATGCTTTTACCTCGACCTGCGGTGCAGAAAACGGGATCGCGCCATCCGAGGCGGGCTCACACCGAAATACCGCCCCAAAACCCCTGTCAAAAACCGCGAAAACTCTTCTTTTGGAACAGTCCCCTAGCTCGGGAGTTCTCCCTTCGTGACTCTAGTGCATGTGTGCAGCTCAAGTTGGAGTCAGGCCGGCCAGAACCTTCCTGCCGGCTGCAGCTGCGCAATCTCCGACGGCATCGCCTCCATCTGCCTCCCGAATGGTTTTCTAGCGGCAGCTTCAGCCCGACGAAAAGCCACTAAGATAAACCCGCGTAAACCGAAGTACCCTCTGAATACTGACTACGCCCTAAAGCATCCTACGCCCCAAGTACGAAGGTGCCTACCTGCTGGCAGACGTCTGGTATCATTTTGTGGTATATTCGGTGCTGCTGCCAGCAGGGCTCGGCAGGCGGGTGACTTTGGTTTGGTTTTCAATGCTGCGCTTTCTCCCACGGTCTTCCTCCGCAGGCGGCTAGCCAGCGCATCCAGTTGGTCCGCACGCGCCGTCACAGCGCGCGGCAAGGAGGCATGAAGTCAAACAATTAGAGGTTTGTTCTAAGTGAAATGCTCTCACGTGCGAGCGGCCACCTCACACTTGCCGGAGTCCCTTTCGGTTTTGACAGGTTCAGGCGGTTTAGGTTGTCAGGTCAAACATGGAAACTGCTAAGCTTTCCAAACTCATCCAAGCCAAGCCGCGACTCCACAAACGCCAAGCATCTGCTCCCGAATGGGACTGCAAAAGGTATCCGAACTTTCGCAACCCCAAGCCATTCCAAGCCATTCCAAGCCATTCTTGGCAATTCCAAGCCATTCTAAGCTATGCTAAACGATTCTGAGCTTTTGTATGCCGTTTGCTAAGAGCA